ACTAGAGAACCGGAGCACATCATAATACTTCACATCCGCACAGTGGGATTGAAGGCAAAGTAATCGAGGTCCTGAACCGAAGTCCAGATGCACATGAATGCATGATGCACACGTCACAAATCATCCTCATATTAACATCATAGGTGCATCATCATTCATCAGATTGATCATCATCAAACATCATAGCTCATCCTCATAATCATCATTATACGGCATGTCATCATAACTCCTCATAATAATCATCTTCATACATCATGTCATCATAGCTCATCATAATAATCATCATCATACATCATGTCATCATAATTCATCATAATAATCATCATCATACATCATTGAAATCATCATATAATCATATCTAAATCACATAGCACTCACGATCATACTAATATTAATTCATCATATTATCACATATTATCACATATTAATTCATAATTATACTCGCTGTAATCCTCATACTATCGCCTATTACTCACATAAACTCCACAGTCCCACCCATGCTAATCCATCATAGAAATCACAGAATCAAACATCAAAGCATCGCTGCACCCGATCAACATACGCGAAACTCTACTACGTTCGCTGGCATGTTCGCTAGACGAGTCTGGGGAGAGTTTCTCCACTAAGCGAAGCTTTCTTCGTTAGGCGAGTCTAGGAACAACATGGTTCGCTAGGCAAACTGTGCGATGACAGCAAAATCTGCTACGCACCAGAACTGATTTCCACCCAAATGCTCATGCAATTCACTTACCTAATGCCCCCAAAATATCCTTAATTCATCCTTAAGGTCCTACGGCGATAAACGCACAAAACCTACGATTTATTGGGCCAATTCCGTAACATATTCATGTCCTAAATCACAAATTTCCCATAAATTAAACCGTAAGGCATTAGAGTTACTCACTATCTAATATTTTGTTCCTTCAGGGTCATACCTATAACAATTCAAGGTTTTGGCCACAAAGGCCTAAGGTTTCATAATTCTCATATCAAATATTCCGTGATACTTACCACTAACCAAACCATCAAGATCTCACTATCAATTTCTCTTTTTTCCACAATCAACCCAAAATCCCTTAAATCTAAAATCATCCAGAGTTACATTGAAAGGCATACATAGGAAATCATGAAAAGTTATACTCTTCATACCTTAGCCGATTCAAAGCCTTCACGATTATCTCCGGGAATCTTCCGAAGCTTTTGCCTCCAATCCTCCCTCCTCAGAGCTCTGACCTCCATTCTTTTCACGGTTAAAAAAATGAATTCTAAATCCCTTCAGAATTCTATTTTGTCCAACCTAGCCTTGTGCCTCACAATTTGGGTTTTTGCCTTATTACCCTTACTAGCTCCTCCAAATGCCCAAATTGCCCTTATCCAACTTATATTTATTTTAATTCATAATAATATTAATATATCCATATTATATACTATTATTCAACATAAATAACCCAAATATGCATAATTCTCCATATTCCACCAAACCACCCAAAATCACCAAAATACGAATATTCTCAATTAAATAAATTAATTTAAATATTTCAATTAAAATTTGGGGTGTTACAAACATCATTTTCAAAGTCCAACTATTATTGGCATCATTCCAAAGTCCAGTTGTCATTTCCATCTTTAAAGGTCGAGTTGTAATCGACACTCATCATTATTTTAAAAAAATTCAAATTGTTATTAGCATATTTAAAGTCCAACTATTATTGGAATCCTTTGTAAAGTCCAATTGTCATTGACACTTTTAAAGTCCAGTTGTCACTGGCGTCACCTTCATTTTTTAATTGTCATTGGAATCTTTAAAGTTCAGTTGTCATTGGCATCAATTTCAAAGTCCGGTTGTTAGCGGAATTTTGTTTTCAAAGTCCAATTGTCATTGGCACCTTTAAAGTCCAATTGTCATTGGCATCATTTTCAAAATTCAATTGTCATTGACATCATTTTCAAAATTCAATTGTCATTGGTATATTCAAATTCCAGTTTTCACTAGCATCCACCTTCAAAATATAATTGTATTGACGTCCTTTTTTAAGTCCAATTGTCATTGACACCTTTAAAGTCCAGTTGTCACTGGCATTAATTTTAAATTCAAAATGTTATTGGCATCCTTTTAAATTCCAATTGTCACTAGTATTAATCTTAAAGTTCATGCTTTGTCGGGCACGTCCAAAGATTATGCTCTTTTTGTCCTTATGTTTCCTAGAAAGTCGTCGGTTTGAATGTTTCGTTGAAAGGAATTCCCTAGAATATTGTATAACATTCTTGCTAAAAAACTCCAGAACCTGGTGTTAGATGAATTTCTTGTTATGGATCTCCATAGTTTTGATTGGATGATTTTCTTGTTAGAAAACTCCAGAACTTTGTGTTGGATAAATTGCTTGTTAGGGATCTCTATAGTTCTATTAGATGAATTTCTTGTTAGAAATCTCTAAAACCCTCAGATATATTTTAAAGCGTCGATCCTTCATCTCTAATTAGTTGATAAATCTCACTTTGAATACTCCCATGTGTTTTCTCAAGAAAAATTATTATCCCTGGTAGGTCTTTCACCATTTCAATCCTTTTCATTTCCTGTGGACCACCTTTACCACATATTGCCATCATTCTCCACCGATTCACCAAATTTGATTCTTTATTTATCATGAAACATCATGGTATGGATCATCTCTTACAACATCATATTACTAGCAAACCAAAACAAAAGTTTCCTCCATACATTCATAGCATATCATTTCTTCAAGGGACAAAATTCGAGTCCTTTGGTATTTAACTATCTCGCATTGCGATCATATGAAGAATGACCTTCTTCATATTCTCTGGTCATAGATATTTAAATAGGGGTAGCTGTCACACCTCAATTTTGCTCCTAAATCGATATATTCATCATGACATTTACATCATATGCATATCATAACATTCATGTCTTAAGTTTAATGCTTAAAAAGTCGACTAAAATAAAATTTCGGTTTTATAAACGAATCGGTTGAATCGTTTCTCAAATGCGCGTAAATTTAGAAGGCGAAAAATGTTAGGGTCGCGCTTGCAGTTATTAGTTTTATTGACCTAGGATTCAAATAGTTTAACCCGACGTGCTCATTTAATTTTTTTTATTCCATTTGTCGTCCCATTTTGATCAGCCTGAGCCTTTTCAATCGAGAATTTTTTATTGCAAAATTTAATCTTTACTTGTGTGTTTTCCAAAACATTATTTTGTGTAGATCATGTTAACGTATTCATTTTATTTTTGTGTGCATTTTCGCGTCCGATTTTTATTCCTTTTATTTTTGTTTTTTAATCAAAACGTAAAGAAAAAAATAAATAGAGGAAAATAACTAACCAATATGATTTGATTTTCTTTTTCTGAAAAAATATTGATTTTATTTTTTTTATCTTATCCTTATCTCACAAAATACCATAGGAAAATATTCAAGAGTGTTTTAGATCTTTTATTAATTTTGAAAACCATGTGACTGGTTCATTGAAGAAAAGAGAGAGACCAATAAACAACGGGGCGTCCAATCAGATCAAATTCTTTCTCTCCATTTTTTCCACATTTTAATAGAATAAAAAAAGGAAATAATGAGTGACCTACAAGGCACCTTGGACTTTGGTATCACGTACAAGCATAGAGGCACCACCACTTACCACTGCTAGGATGGACTGACTCTGATTATGATAGGAAAAACACCTCATGTCATTTGTTTAAGATAAGGTCAATGTCAATATCATGGTCCTCGAAAAAACAACCAATATTCAAGAAACAGAGTTTGTGGTTGTTGCTTCATGTGCTTTCCAAGAAGTTTGATTAAGGAATGTGCTTGCTCATTTAAGAGTGTCTCAAAATCAAGGGTCAATCATTTTTTGTGACAATAATTCCTCGATCAAGCTGTCAAAGAATCCTATCAAGAATGGAAGGTGCGAGCACATAGATTTTAGGTTTCATTTCTTGAAGAACCTGACTAAAGAAAGAGTTATTGAGTTGAAGCTCTGCAACACATAAGACCAATTGGCTGACATTTTAACCAAACCATTGAAGCTTGACTCACTTGTCAAGATGAGGGGGGGCTTAGGAATAGAGACATAACTAGTGTTACTTGATTTTTTTAGAGATGTGAGGGATTGTTGTATATAGTTATTGAGATATGTTTTAGCGTCGGTAATTAATTAGTTAGAAATTAGTTACCACATTTCTTTCTTCCTAAGTAACGATCACTATTTTATGTGTTTAATGTATAAGTAGGTACTCATGGCAAGTTAATGAGAAATTTGGCATTATAATCCAACAATTTATAGTAAAAGGCTATCATTCATATAACACTCCAACTCTAAATCTCTAAATATACTTAAACAAATGCAAGTGTGCAAATATATCATGCAACAATATTGATTCCTTATAATGTTATGTATGCATCATGTTCTAACCTTCTTAAATTAAATTTCTTGAATCATAATTGCATTAAACCTTAACAATGTATGAGGAATGAAGGAAGAAGAGTTTGCATTAATCTCTAGATGATGATGATGATTATTATAAAGAACCACAAGCCATTTCTTTTGCTCATTACATATTTTCTCTCTCGTAGATTTCTTGAATCCTAATTTTCTTTGATTCCACCTTTCACTTTCTTGAAAGAAAGAAAATCATACCAAAGGTTGCCCTCCTCCTTTAAAAACATCCAAAACCATTTACTTAACAAAGACAAATTAAACCCAACAAAATGTTTCACCCCAAGGCCCTCTTCCTTTTTGGGTTTACAAATATCATCTCAATTTTTCATAACTAACACTCCTTCCCTGGAGAAGGATAAAATTGATATCAAACAATTTTAATGCTACATTTAATTTTCATTAATAAATTTCAGACACAGTAGAAAGAAATTCTATTAAAAAAATAATTAACTCAACAATATACTCCATTTTGATCTAATAGATAAAAATATGAAAGGAAGTTTAAAAATAAAAAACAACACAAAGATCAAGTAAAAAAATCTTTATTCTTATTGGCACTGAATTCCCTGAATTGCCCTTGATGTCAATATGATCCTCAAATTGCAAACCAATTCTATTGTCTCTTTCTTGTGAACAATCTTCAACCACTGAATTTGAACAATCCCACTAAATTTCACATAACCCGTAAGATTCAACGTCCCTGAATAAACACGCCTAGTAAAATTCCCATTCTCATCAAGAATTAACTCAGGAAACTTCACATTCATCATAACATCCGTATGTTTGGTTCTTCTTTCTTTCACTCTAGCATCAGGAATTTTCATATAACCAACTTTAACACCTGCATATAGCAATTTCACATCGCTATTCTCGTAACTGAATATTCCACCGAAATTAGGGTTCCAGATACTGAAATATATGAGAATTGTTGCGTTGAATGAACGCGACGGTGAAGTAACGTTATAGGTAATTTGATTCAATGTAGTTGAAGTTAACTTTACCTCTGGATTCCTCAATCGGAATATCAATGCAGCGACTAGTAAAACTGCACAACAGATAACAAAGAATGTGAAAAAGAAGACGAAACATTTGTTGCTTCGTTCCTGGCGTACTGGCTTGTACATGACGGAGGGGTATTTTGGTGACTCAATTGTTTGATTGATTTTTTGGCATAACGTTTGCTGTTTTTTTTTTTTTTCAGTAACTGAATTAGATGGAGATAATGGGTTTGAAGAATTGAAATGTATGTTATGAGTTCTAGTGTTTATTTATAAATGTTTAGTGTGGTAGCTGATACATTCATGAGTAATGGATAGTTATGTAAATTAATAACAAGCTTTATTTTTTTCTTTCTTTAATTAACTTTTCGCAGGGGGTTACAGTTACGTTGCCCTTTCTTTAGTTTGTCATTTCCAATTTTTTTTTAGATTAAAGATAATGTACTTTCAAAGTATTATATATATATATATTATATATAATCAAAATATTTTAAAGTCTAAATTATACAAGTAATTTAAAATTTATCGATTGAATTGATGAAATACATAATTGTTATCGATTGATGTAAAAGTTTAATTTAAAATTAACTTTCGACATCAAGTAATTTTAATTTTCTCATGATCAGAATTACAAAAATCAAATAATATTCTTCTTTACTGTAAATTTAACTCAACTACCACCAAACCAATGGTGACAAATTCATTTTTTTAGATATTGTGTGACTGAATTTGGATTCTAAAATTTAATATTGAATAGTGATACTATGTATAAAAAATTTATTGGTGTCCGCCATTGTAAAAAAATATTATATATTTATCTAACTATAATATTTTAAAATATTAAATTATATAAATAATTTAAAATTTACATGCCGACTTTAATACTTTAATACTGACTTAATAAAATACATGATTCTTATTAGTTGACCGTATAAACATAATTTACATTATTCTTTTTCTCATGTATAAATACACTTAAATCAACTTTTAATTCAATAAGTAAAAAATAATAATAATAAAATGACAAGTACCTTTTCGTGTGAAAATGTATTTAGTGAATCTGGTCAATATACCGGATACATTAATTTATTTAATAAGTTAGAAAAAATATTAATGAAGGAAAGAATGATTTATAGATACATAGAAAAGAAAATGGTTATTAATGGACATAATAAACCATATTTATTATTATTATTATTATTATTATTATTATTATAAATATGAATTTAAAATATAGTAAATATATAATTAATATTTTTCATAGACACAATAGAGAGAATAAAGTAAAAATTGTTGATTTAGAGTCGGTAAATTCTATAAAAAAACTATTTTAAACTTGAAGTAGATAAGGACACATCAATAGAAAAAACATTGCTAGGTCGACACTGTATACAAACTACACCTTATATGTATCCAATTGGCACAACTATTAAAGTGAAAGAAAAAATAATAAATATGTATTTAATGTATATAGTAAGGTGTGGGTGTAAAATATGGTTTCATGTTCTCATAAATAAAAAATCATGTTTAGTCCTTTTCCCTTGTTTTTTTCTCTGTTGTATTAGCTTTTCTTTGAGTGTTTTGAATTGCAGAAAATAATGATATGCAGGCAAAAATATACACTATTTTTGTAAACACAAAATATGTTTATTAAAGAATTTAAAAATTTCAACATCAGCTCGAAGTAGAATTCATTGAAAGCAACATCTACAATAAAATCAATGAACCATCTTCAAGTGAAGGTTCAATCCATCTAGCAGATCATACATAGGCATCAAATGTGAGCTAGAATCATACCCTGCAAAGAACTTATACATAGAACCTCCCAAATCAACACAACTCTCTCCAGCCATCTTCTTTAACCCTCCATCTCTCATTACCCTCCTCACATTCGCCGCTTTCTCCCACTTCCCCTCTTCGGCATACATGTTAGCAACAATTACTAAATTCCCACCTCTCTTTGGCTCCATTCCAAGTAACCTCTTTCTTACTTTTTCCCCTATCCCCGCACGATCGCAAACATCATGAACTGTGCACGCACTTAACAAAGTCCTCCACACAATTGGATCAGGCGTAAAAGGCATCCTATGTATAAATTCATAAGCTTCGCTAAGACGGCCGGCACGACCCAATACATCAACCATTGCTCCATAATGAACCATCATAGGTTTGATCCCATGAACAAATTCCATTTCGCGAAAGTATAGGTAACCGTCGTCAACCATCCCAGCATGGCTGCAAGCACATAGAACACCAAGATAAGTAACATAATTAGGTAAAACATTATTTCTCTTTTCATCACTCATCATCTCAAACAATACAAGAGCTTCCTCAGCAAAACCATGTTGCGCTAACCCCGTTATCATAGAACTCCAAGTCCACACATTTCTCTTCTCCATTCTTTCAAAAACAACCCTAGCATAACCTAAATCTCCCGACTTACCATACATGTCAACAAGAGCAGTACCTAATTGAACACTCAAAACCATTCCTCTCAAAATCAACTGCGAATGAACCCATCTTCCAAGGCTCAAATAACCCAACTCGGCACAAACAGTCAACAACAAAACCATACTAGTCTCATCCGGTTCAAACCCACAATCCCTCATCTTAAAAAAATACTCAATCCCATCGCTTAACCAAACATTCTCAACACAAGCAGTCATAACAGAATTCCACGAAACAACCGTCCTCACACGCATTTCATCAAACACCTTCCGCGCGTAAACAATCTTCTTACAACACCCATAAAAATTAATCAAATTGTTACAAACATAAACATCAGAATCCAAACCAAACTTCACAGCATCACAATGAACCTGAGTCCCTTCACATAACGCCAAATCCACCGCACAAGACTTGAAAACAAAAGGGAAAGTAAGCTTATTAGGTTTAACACCTCTTTCTCGCATTTCCTTAAAAACCCAGATGGATCCAATTGGAGAATCACTTGATGAATAGCCTCTGATGAGAATGTTCCATGAAATGGGTGATGAGTTGTTGGAAAAGTGATGAACGAGTTTACGTGCATGGGCGAGATTTTTGAAGGGTGAGAGGGAACAAAAGTAGACGAATTCTGAGAGTAAATGGGTGTCGTTGTGAAGGGAGTTGAGGTGAATTTGTGCTTGGAGTTGATGGAGATGGGTGATTGAATGGCAAGAGTTGAGGAGAGAGAGACATTGTTGTTTGTTGGTGAGAGGAGGTGTGTTTAGCAATGTTTTGAATCGAACCATGCATTTGGGTTTTGAGTTTAGCGCCGGCCACATCTAAACTGTACTAGTATTTATTTCACGCACGTTTTGATTTGAACAATTATTGAAGTTAACAAATTAACAGTACTTATTCAGTGGCCCTTCCTATAGATATTTAATTTTAAGGTAACGTGAACTTGTGTTCTTGGGGCACATGTTAAGGAAACCACTTTTAGTAAATTTGTATTAAAAAAAACAATTTAAAAATTAATTTTATATTTTAATTTAAGTTTGTACACAATTTTCAAGATGATATTTCTTAATTTAGTTCTTAACATATACCCCAAAGACACAAGTTAACGTTACCCTAATTTTAATCATGGCACACTTCTCTCCTTTTAATTGTTGCATCCTGCATCATGTTGATTTTTGGAAAAGCTCCATATATATTTTTTTTTGGAGAAGGAAAGAATTTATTAATGAACCACTTCTTGTAGCAGTTATCATAACTTGATCATTTGGTATAAATGATTGATTAATTCTACTTTGATAGGGTGGCATCTGTGGCCATGGTAAGGTCTTCATACAAAGCAGGTGAATTCTATTTTAAATCCATGATTGACAGAGATCGAGCCGCATCTTCTTCAAAGCTGATTACCTGTTGATCCATTCTTTTTTCTTTCATTTTTGGTTATTTACACACTACTCTGCATTATGTATAAGAAGAGGTGCAGGCTAACTTTATATTGTTGACTCCCTTACCGCATGTAATTTATCATTAAAAGGGAAATAAACTGAAAGGACAAATGTATTTGGAAAATGCGAATCTTAAAAGTTAAATTGTGTTCACGTCTACTTATACTTAATATTGTACCTGTCAAAAGTATTTTGTTTGAAGCTATTATTTTAAAACTGTTGCTTTTGAAATGTGCATACAAACTAAACAAAATTAATTTAACCTATTCGGAGGCATGGGTATTATTTTTTTCCATACAATTATATTTATCATTTAACATTTACAAGTATATTTAAACAAATTATATATACAATATTAAATAAATTTACCGGTGCTCTAATTATATATACAATATCAAATAAATTGCACCGGTAATTTACTAATTTATATATACGACACGAGGAAACCAATAGTGATCCACTGCGCCAGCTTGTTAACATAAACATTTGGAATCACAGCATGCTGATCCCATAATGTGCATATTCCTTAGAAATGCTCTTTGTGGAACTCAAATTTTGATTTTGATGCACCTTTTTTGTTGAACTCGGAGCAGAGCTTGCTCAATTCTTTGGCCAAAATTGGTGCTCCACAATAAAATACTCCTAATACCAAGCCAAGATATGTGAGTAGAAGATATAATAACAAATAACAAAGTCTCTAAACAATGTTTGATGTAGAATGACTTACCTATTCGCTTACTACAATGCTTAGAACATATTTCAGAGAAAACCTTTTTCCAATTAGGCCTTGCAAAATGAGTTCGCACCTAATAGTAGATTCAAATGGAGGTTAAAATTTTATGTAAGATTAGAAGGCAAATTCTAGCATAAGTGTTGGAAATTCGCGAAAGACAAAGTCTTCACCCGAGTCCCAGAAACAATATCAACTCCCTTTTTCGCATGGTTGAGGGCTTGCACCATGGTGATGAGGGTGGATCTTGCATCACCTTCCTCGTATACACTAGTCAAGTAGTTGTGCATCTCAATAACACCCTGAAGACCATAATTTAAGGACTATAAGAATATTTTCAAGAGGAAGTCTTAACCACTTGAATCACCTACATATCTGAACAAAAGTGTGTCAAGTGTCTGACATATTTTGCAGAGTACCTTCTGATCTATTTCATTAACTTGGTTCATAACCCCTTTAAACCAATCAAAAGAACTTTGTTCTCTTGTTACCCAGTAGAAATAAGTGCTGGTAGTCGCCACTGTTTTCTTCTGCTTGTTAAGAAGATCTTTTAGAATGCTGATAAAAGGTGTTGCTCCTATTCCAAGACCAACAAGTAACAAGACATCATATTTTGCATAGTCCTGTGCTGGTGCACCGTAAGGTCCATCAATTCTTAGCTTAGGTAAACTGTATCAAAACCAAAAGATGATAGAATTTTGAAGATAAATTATTTCCCATTAGGACAAAGTTGCAAGATACATAAAACAGCATGTACCTTTTCTTGGTGGTTTCATCTGCCCTGAGAAGACCACTCTTCCCAGCTAAGGGAGGCTCACATGCCTCAGAGAATACTCTCTTAAGCTCCTGTGTCCAATCACCCAGTGTCCGGATGTGAACACTCAGGTAGTCATCGCCCGGTGCTGAGGTAATAGAAAACGGATGCCTGTCATGCAAATACATTATACCATCAAATACGGATAAACTCATTATAGACGGCATAAATAGAGATATTGTTAGATTAGTTTGTTGTTTTTAGTTTAAGTAGTTTGTTATTTATTTAGTTAGATTAGTTGTTATTATTAATTATATAAGTCTTGTACTTCGTCATGTAATAATAATTTCATTACTTTTCTTCTATTCATGGTTTCTATCAAGAATACACAATGATTTGAAAAGTATACAACTGCAATTTACCACTCAAATAGAGAAATGGTGGGACATTGGACAAACATATATTGTCCGCTCTTGTAACGAAATCGAGGCGGCTTTGACATTTGCAACGTGAGAACATTTCCAGGATAGATTGCAACCTAAATGTTTTCCACGGTACAAATGAAAGATCTGTAAGCAAAACCTTGACGGAGTCGGATAGTGACCAACAAAAAGTAAGTCAAAACCTTTATTTGTGTTTAGCGTTGGAACTAATGTGAGAATTTATCAAGGTTGAAACCAGAATCAGAGTTTAGGAGTAACTGCTTAGAATTGTGTGCTCACCTTTATAAGACTGACTGTGTAAAAATCAGAACGGAAGAATCTGAGTATTCTTTCTCCTGCATAAAGTAAGATTGGAACTACAAGATACATCCATGTCTGAATAAAGAGATCAATGTGTCAAGTAATGAATCACTGACAAGAACTCGTTTGACAAAGCTCCTAAGTAGTTGAGAACTGATACTACAGATTACATACCGTTTGATAGATCCGTTCGCGCACGAGGAAAAGATTTATTCCGTGAATGATGAGCAGCACATAGACAATGACAAATAGATGGTGTGAATACCAAAAGGCATTGAAACCTGTCAGCCTATTAAGTGGTTTGGGAAGCTTAATGAGATTTCTCCTGAACCTTGTTGTTGCAAGTAAAAATGCTATGGCCATGAAAATCACCATCAAAATTCCAGTCACACCCTCAATCCCTATAACAAGATCTCCATAACTGGGTTTATGATCGCCAAATGCATCATTTAAATACTTCTTATACTCATCTTCGGAGGAATTTACAAGTCTTGGAAAATCACATGTTAGGTGATTTCCGACATGAAGCGTAACTCCAATGACTATGGCCGCCGCAATTGTCTGCAAACATCCATAACTACACATTATATTCTGCTCAGTTACTCATAATAAATTTTGTTGCTTTCTTCAAGATAATTTTCTGCAGCTATTTTCTGTTTCTTTTTCTCTGGTCTTTTGCAGGTGAAACTTTTTTTAGGACTGTTTGCTTTTGGAAAACAAGTCTAAAGGTAATACGATGAAAATATTATATATCATCAATACAAACAGTAAATTACTAATCTTATGGTTAGTAGTTTATCTACCAAGTGTCATAAAAAGTTGTTAAGAATATAGTCTATCCCAAATAAAGATTTAAAAAAAATATTGATGTATTAAATGGTTACCTTGTGAAAGTTGATGTTATCATCAAAAGGTACAATGTAAGCCAGTTTAGTAGACCTGAGCCATGTTATGGTGTTTCTGCATACAGGCAAGAGTATAAGAGCCATATTGAACTTCAGGGTCTCAGCCGCGCCTTTCGCCGTGAGTAGACAGTAACCCATGATATTATAAGCATCTTTTTGCTTGTATTGGATGAACTTCCACATAAACAGTCCAATCATTATGGAAATCCACAGTGTTAAAACCCAAAGTCTCTTCCAATTTTCTTCTAAGTAGTATAGCAACCTGTGACTCATCCTACCAATTAGAGTTATCCTCCATAGTCCTTGTGGGTTCTTGTTCAGAGCTTGACTTGGGTAGCTTGGAGCCCGGCTGTAGCCTATGTATGCATCCTTTTGTAACAAAAGTGTCTCCAATTGCCATAGCTACAATAACACAATGAGCATAAAAGTGCAGTAAGACTATCAGGTGTTGAATCATGCATGTGAAAGATATTTCAATATGTCATCTAAGTTAGTTTTAATTCAAACTTTACAATTAGTTTAAATTTAACAGTTATGTTTGTTACATGTTAGTTGGTAATTTGGAGATTAGTTAAGATTAACTAACTTTGGCTACTAGTTTACTTGCATCACAAGTAAACCGGTTATAGTGTTGCTAAATCTCTATAAATGCATAGTTTGTGCTGGTAATCATGTATTCATTCTTCTACTACTAAATCAATAAACTCTTCTCTCTTAATTGTTCATTCACCCTTAGTTGCTTCCGTTTTCAACTGATATACAATCTTAACATATTGGTATCTTAGAGCTTATACGATTCAAGCGAGTCTTGATCTTTCAAAAAGTTTTTTAAAAAAAAAAGTTCATGTGAGAAATCATGGCCGGAGGAAATGGCACCTTTCATGCTAACCTTCCCATTCTTTATGGCAAGAATTGAGATCAATGTTTTAAACAAATGAATGTGATCTTCGTTGTTCGTGAGGTGTATGAACAAGGGAGTCTCATTGTGTTTCTCATGCCATGAATGATATTGTTATTATTTCCAATTTTTTTTACTATGCCTCGATCTATAGAACATTATAAACTAGGAAATCTATATGTTACACACCACAAACAACATGTTCCAATACCCCTTCCCGGCCTTGATTCGCCACCTGATCTTGTATTGGTTGAACCACGATGTTCTAGTCAAATATCTCGAGCACCAAATAGATATTAACCAGACATGTATAATTTCTTACATACTTCTCAGACTGTCTCACTCTCTAGCATATATATTCCTACTTATTACTTATAAGTTGTAAAAGATGTAGGTTGGATAAAAACAATGAATAGGAAAATTCACGCTCTTCAAGAGAATTTCACATGGGATATTAATTCTTGTTCTCATGATATAAATAAAACCTACTGGCTGCAAATCAGTGTATTCATGAAATTGAATTCAGAAGAGTCTATCGCCCATTAAAGGGTGAATTTGTTGCCTTAGTAAACAACTTAGAATATGACATTGATTATGATAGGACATTTGCTTCAGTTTCTAAAATGACAATTGATCGCACTATGCTCTCTATATCGGCTTCCAATGGGTGGTCTCTTTATCAAATGGATGTGAACAATAATAAATTTTAAAAAAAAAAAGTTCATGTGAGAAATCATGGCTGGAGGAAATGGCACCTTTCATGCTAACCTTCCCATTCTTTATGGCAAGAATTGAGATCAATGTTTTAAACAAATGAATGTGATCTTCGTTGTTCGTGAGGTGTATGAACAAGGGAGTCTCATTGTGTTTCTCATGCCATGAATGATATTGTTATTATTTCCAAATTTTTTTACTATGCCTCGATCTACAGAACATTATAAACTAGGAAATCTATATGTTACACACCACAAACAACATGTTCCAATACCCCTTCCCGACCTTGATTCGCCACCTGATCTTGTATTGGTTGAACCACGATGTTCTAGTCAAATATCTCGAGCACCAAATAGATATTAACCAGACATGTATAATTTCTTACATACTTCTCAGACTGTCTCACTCTCTAGCATATATATTCCTACTTATTACTTATAAGTTGTAAAAGATGTAGGTTGGATAAAAACAATGAATAGGAAAATTCACACTCTTCAAGAGAATTTCACATGGGATATTAATTCTTGTTCTCATGATATAAATAAAACCTACTGGCTACAAATCAGTGTATTCATGAAATTGAATTCAGAAGAGTCTATCGCCCATTAAAGGGTGAATTTATTGCCTTAGTAAACAACCTAGAATATGACATTGATTATGATAGGACATTTGCTTCAGTTTCTAAAATGACAATTGATCGCACTATGCTCTCTATATCGGCTTCCAATGGGTGGTCTCTTTATCAAATGGATGTGAACAATAATTTCCTTCAGGGTCATTTGGTGGAAAATATTTATATGACTTCTCCTCAAGGCTTCTCCTCTTCATCTAAGGGTGTATGCAAGATCAAACACTCTTTGTATGGTTTAAAACACGTGCCTAAAGCATGTTATAAAAAATTTTGCTTTGAGAATTGATATGCTTCTTCTATATGTTGATGATATGACTATTACTAATTTTGATCGCACTTTTATTCAACGACTTAAACAACAGTTACACGTCTCATTTCTTATGAAAGATTTGGGTAAACTGCATGTTAAGAAACGTGGTTGGACCTAACTCAACCCTACAAAACCGGCTGGTAGAGTTAGGATTGCCCCCACTTATAAACACATGTTCATGTCATATATTGTTCGATGTGGGACTTTTAACACACCCCCTCACGCTCAGGACTGGACAACTGAATTGTGGAAATAAATGGTGGGTGGCCCGATAGCGGAAACCATAGAAGGTGGTCCACCGGATCTTAAACGAGGCTCTGATACCATGTTAAGAAGTGTGGTTGGGCCTAACTCAACCCTACAAAACCGGTTGGTAGAGTGAGGATTACCCCCACTTATAAACACATGTTCATGCCATATATTGTCCGATGTGGGACTCTTAACACACACCCTCACGCTCAGAACTGGACAACTGAAGCGTGGAAATAAATGGTGGGTGGCCCGATAGCGGAAACCATAGAAGGTGGCCCACCGGATCTTAAACGAGGCTCTTGATACCATGTTAAGAATGTGGTTGGGCCTAACTCAACCCTACAAAACCGGTTGGTAGAGTGAGGATTACCCCCACTTATAAATACATGTTCATGCCATATATTGTCCGATGTAGAACTCTTAACACTGCACTATTTTCTAGGCCTTAAGGTTCATTCCACGTCCAAGGACATCTTGTTACACCAATACAAGTAAGCTACAAATTTGATTTCTATGGCTAGTTTCAAATCGGCGAATTCGGTAGATATTCCTCTTAGATCAATGATATATACCATTATGATGATAGTGATTTTTTCCGGACCACTTAATGTATCAGCATCTCGTGGGTAGTCTTAATTACTTAACTATTTCTTTAATATATCTTTTGTTGTTTAACAAGTAAGTCGATCCATGCATTATCCTAGTTGTCTTCACTTGGTAGTGTTTTGTCTTCACTTGGTAGTGTTTTGTGATATAATTCATTGCTTGAATGGAACCTCTCACACAGTCAATTCTTTCCCATCAATATAGCCCTTAAATTAAGTGCTTACAATAATGCTGATTGGGCGAGTGTTCTAATACTTGAAGATTTGTTATTAGATGGTGCATGTTTGTTGATTCTTTATTGGTCACATAGAAAAATAAGAAACAAGTAAGAGTCTCTAAATCTTTTAGCTGAATTTGAATTTCCTTAAAGAAAATCATCATCACTTTATGTTGATAATACAAGTATTTCTAAGTTGTTGCAAATCCAGTTTTCATGAACGCGCCAACCATTTCGAAGTTGGTTTTCATTCAGCTTGCGACGCCTATGATGACCAAATTATATCACTTCCTTACATAATACTTAGTTTCAAGTACCATATATTTTTACCAACTCTATTTCGCTCCTATGTCATTATATTTTTGTTAGTAAATGGATGCTCATTGATGAGTCTCATCAATTTGAACGGAGATGTCAACCAAGAAATAGTATCATGGTGTACTTATATTTATTATCTTTCTTAGAATAAGTTACACAAATCGATGATTTATTTATTCCATTTAATCTATAACTATTAGTTGTAAATGTTGGAACTACTATATAATAAGTGAAATATCAAAGCAAAAAGTATTAAGCCAAACAAAATGTACCAATCAAAATTACTTACAAACCAAACGTTTAAGATTTCTCACCTCAATGTAACCAAGTCTTTCAGGGTCTAACTCTTCCATGATTAAATCTGCATATTCTTGAGCCTGCTCCTTTAATCTGGACAACTTATTTGCTGAAGCACTTAGTGCAATGATCTAAAAATTGAATGAGATATAACTGTTGTTTAGTGAAAGTTTTAACTTTGACGTATATTTTTACTTTTTCTTTTTACAAAATAGAATGTTAAACTCACAATCACTCAGAAAAAATGTATGTCTCTTTAAATTAACTACTATGCCAATACCATAGGTAGGTACAGAATATTAAGTAAAGTAGAAATAGACAAAGGGAAAACAGGATTCTAGGATGGATAATTTGTCTTTTCCTAGAGTCCTCTTATTGTTTATGTCGAAATAGATAGTGAAGGAATGAAAGCGGGAATTGAATTCACCAAATACAACTTTCTTAATTAACTTAAAAAAAAAAAGTCCCAAGATAACAAGAGATTATATGTTTGGTAAAAATTTAATTAATACGCTTTAAAATATTAAAAGCAATTTATATAAAAAGGAAAGAAAAATTTAGAGAAATTTAATTGATTTTGATAGATTGAGAAATTGTCAAGTCCTAAATCCTTCCCCTCCAAATGCTGGCCAAATGTTTTTGTGGGTTAACAAATTCCAACTTTTTAATCCGCGCAAAAAGAATTGTTTAAAATGTTACACAAATTAAAATTAAAAGAAATAAACTGTTTAATACCTCTTTCACTTCTTCTTTGTTGAGTATACCGTCTTCATTTTTGTCCACCCTGTAAAGACGGGTAAAAAGTACAATTAGGAGCAGATTTTATTTAAAAGAATTAATAGTATTCGATTTTGTTTTATTTTTAATTAAAAAATTAATTTATTGCTTTATTTTGAATTAGTTGAAATTCTAATGAATAATGATTACTTTACATGTTAAAGAAAATAAGAAGCCGCGAATCAAAACTCTGATCGGTAATTTGCAACCAAAATTGACGAAGTTCATCTTTATTGATCTTGTCAACCTTCATTCTTCGTTTACGATTCAAAGCATCAAATATTTCCAAACCAAACTCCTTAGAATCTCCCATGCCTTCAAAACAAAAACAAAAACAAAAATTAGTTAATCTGAAGTTACTTGCAGATGATACTGGTTTCTACCGGAATTTTATTTATAAATAATCATTGAAAAAATGCGAAATGGAGAGTGATAATGCCTTTAGGATAACGAACCCAACCCATGCACAATGAAAAGAACCGAAATGAAAACTGCAGGAAAAAATAATGAAACGAACCTATGCATTGGGCAAAATCAGTGCGATGGAGAAAACCGTTATTGGCAAATCTATCAAAATTGCTCTGCACATCGTTCCAGGCATCACCGTCGTTGGATTTACTGCTAATAAATTTCAATCCACGTAGCGCTTTCTTAGCACCGGAGCGATTACGATCAAGCTGCGCGCGTTGTTTCCTAAGATCTCTAGCCAGCAACGCCTCTTCAGATCCGCCGGGATTGAATGTTAACCGATTAAACTCGTGCGAAAACTGCTTTACCTTTGCAACCGCCTCGGTTTTGATCCTATGTGAGAACTGCCGCAACATCTTGGAAGTGCTTCTCCTGGTCGACGGCAGCTTCGTATCCGGCGCTGAGTTTTCGTTCCCGCTAGTTTTAACATCATCGTCGATGTTAATGGCATATACTGGCTCGACGTCGTGAAGAACGGCAGCGTGATTGTCTTGAAGATTAAGACTGACCTCGACATTTCTGTTAGCAACAGAATTGGACTCAGTTTCCGGCAATGTACCGGTACCGGCAATTATCTTCTCTAGAACGGTGTCGAGGGACCTTCGGTGTTCGTGCTTCGGAGTACCGTTCATGGATTAAACCATGCGGAAGAATTGGTTATAGATTTTAATTTATAAATATATACTACTCCATATAAGTAAAAGTAAAAAAATAAAAAGCTAGATAATAGGATGTGATTTGTTTACTATATAATGAAATAAAAGTTATTTTTAATGAAAAAGAAATAGTCTTTTTAATATCTTAAATAATATGTGATAGCTGTTATTATATTTTTTTTATAAAAAAAAATTACAACTAAATTAATATTTTATATAAATGTGAGTTGAAAATGGAGATAATATAACCAATATATTTTATGTTTTAAGGTTTTTGGTAAATATATGGTTTGTTTCATTTGTAAGGTTGTTTTTTACTCAATATATATACTTTCTTCGTGATTCATTTCCTGACATGATAATGGTTAGGTGACGTATTCCGTTGAAGTGTAAGTGACGTGGAAAGGGTACCATTCTAAAATAACAGTTATTCGGATATCTTTACCCTTAGCCATGAGCCTCCTTTGGTTTTTTTTATTCACTTAACTCTTCGATTTTAAGATTCGAAGGGAAGAAGAAAAAAGGAACGAAAAAGATATAAGTTGATAAGTCAAAATAAAATAACAGTTGTATGAAAGAGTTTATGCTTAAGGAAGAGTATAGTAGATGGACTCACACTTGGAGGGAAGATTGTTGTAATACAAGTGTGAGTTAAATCTCATATTGCTTTAAAATATAGAGGTTAAACATTTTATAAATGAGATGACTCATATACCTAATATTTTAATATTTTGGACAAATATGTAATACTTTTCTCACTTGTGTGGTTGCTCTTAACCCAGTCTGGATGATCCTTCTCGTGACCCACTAATTAAATGTATGGTCGTGACCCTCATGAAGGTGGCAGTATTTCGTCTTGTCGATTACGGAAGTTTCCATAACAAAGGGGTTTTCGATCCTGGCCTTCCGATATTCTGTGTTGGCGCACCTTTTGTATATCTTCTCACTGGATGTGTTCATAAATGTGTGCTTATCATACCGACCACGAGTTTCACAATCAGATTCACCTCTCCCTCTGTTGGAATATTTACTGGATGATCGTCAAGAATTTGCATCTGATGTGGTTGGGTTGTCGAACCGTTTAGTTTCTCATCTAGATTGATGAAGGGTTGTGTCATATTAAGCATCTCTTTCACACTATGGGCCTCCACATGCCTTAGTTTATGCCTAAAGGAACTATCATATGACGGATCGTTCTCAAATGTCCAACATTTGAGGCCTTCTTCACGTTTTTCTACTTCCAAAACTACTTGCGTGAAATGGTCGATGTACGACCGTAAACTTTCTTTCTTTCTCTATGTTATCTCGCTTAGGGAATTTATCATTAATAGCTACCTTTTTAAGGTTGTGCAATGAGCGACGAAGCTATCACAAAGGTCTGTCCATGACTCAATGCTCCCATTCAATAAAGCTTAGAGCAAGAGTCAAGCAGATCTGTCATAACCCAAAATTTGTCCTACTTCCTTCCCACTTTTCATCTGGCTCTTGGTCTATGATCCATCTGCATACTCCTAGTCATCTAGATCATTCATTCATAATTGAATTTTTAAATAAATATTATTGATTCAAGAGTTTAGTTGTTTATGACTCAAAGATATGGATCAAGTATGTGGATCTCTCGATGTTATGTCTTGACTAGGTTGACACAACAACCGATGGTTGATCTTTCTCGTGGACCCTAATATTAATCTATGACATTTTTGGAACATTATAGACTACATCATGGCATTAAATTTTAAGGTTACTTGCAAGCTTAACTTTGGTCAAGGTCAACCATGGGAGGTTGACTCTTGTTGACCAAGTTCTTTATAGGCTTTTTCATACACTAGTTTGTTGGCAATTTGTTTGGATTCAAGAAGTAGCATTATAATTCAAGATTCATTCAAGAAATCAAGGTTCGAATTCAAGGCAAATTCAAGATCATTCAAGTTCATTTTCAAAATTAGAAATTATTGAGGAGATCGTCTTTCTTGAAAATCAAGGCACACAATTCAATTCAAGATCATGTTTCATTACAAAACCATCAAACTTCATTATAGGATCCAAATTAAAAATGTCTATACAAATTACACCAATTAACCTATATTTGAATTTTGGTCAATGGTTGACTTTTTTGTCAATAATTAACCAAAGTCAAACTGAACATTCTAAACCCTAATCTACTTTTGCCTTCATCCTCATTAGGTCTTCTATCTTTGTGCTTCCAAATTCTCCCAAGTTGATTCCCTCCTCATCAAGCACCATAATGCCATGCCATGGCATGATTCCACATCAAGTTGCCTTGTTCCATGCCAAGTTAATAGGTTGCCCTCCCAATCTCCATCCTACCAATTCTGCAACAAATAAACACATCCACAAATTAACCTGACATATTACTGCACCAATACACAACCAAGCAAGCCATGGTGAACAAAATCCAATTCATATTCAAACCTAATAGTTAGTTCCAGTTAACACATTAGCATGTCGACTGCTCAATTTACTAATCAATTGGAACAAACAACTAACAGTATATTAACCATATCCTAATTCTAACAAATCAAAACATTAAAGAATAGCTCAAACAATCCTTAATTGATCCAAATGCAACCATAAACCACAAACATAACTTCAAACTCCATCATATTTTCATACCAATTTCAATAAAACTACCATAATCATAATGCTAACAATTCAGTTTGACTAATCAGCATATAACTCCAATTCGAATTCAAGTGAACATCATCAGTTAGCAAGGTTTTTCTTTTCATAAATATCTTGTTATCCTAACTATTTTTTTTTCAAAATATCATCACTAACCAACAAAAATAACAATCACAAACATGACCTACTAATTATCTAGAGCAAATATTAACTAGTATGCTTTTATAACTCGAGACAACTAACTTTTCAAATGATGTTAACTACAATAACACATTAAACCAACTGCACTAAGAGTTTAGTAGCAGAAGCAGGATTAAAGCATTCAACAATGGTAGCTCTAACTATTTCATAACAGGTGCCAATTAGAACTAATGCTCTAGCTGTAAATTTCCTAATTCAGCTAACTTAAACTCCTTAACTGTCAATTTAACAAAAAAAATTAACATTCATCTTTTAACTAACCTTTTTTCAGTTGATCCAGCATTACCATTAATCCAAATCAATTCAACAAGTTCCATAAACATTTCATAGTCAATAACAGCTCCATTAACATTCATCAACTAGTTAAGCATTGCTAAACCATTAACCTCAATACAGTTACAACTTGTCGCTACTACGAAAATAAGGTGTCGGAACAACAGAAGAGTCGCCACCTTTCGTTATTTATCCCACAAAAAGGGAAAGGAAACAATCGGAAAAAACCTGACGAAAAGGTATAAGACAAGGTCATCGCAACCAGGTCTGGGTTCGGGAGTCGGTTACGCAAGGGGAAGGTATTAGCACCCCTCACGCACGTTGTACTCAACGGGATCCACGCTTGTTGTGTTTATTTGACGGGTTGATTTAACTATCTACCTATCAAGGCTGGTCTGAAAAGAAAAGAAAACTGAAGAAAGGGGGACTCGACAGAGCGTCACTGCTCTGGGCCTACGTATTCCCTCGTGCAATGGGAAAGTCAGAGTCAACGTAGTTCGGCTAACTACGGGTGAAGGGAAGGTTGTTCGCCAAGACATCGCATCTTGTGCCTACGTACTCTCAACAGGCTTGAGAGATCAGAGCTAACGTAGTTCAGGATAAAAAAAGCAACACAGGTTTGTCTTTTTTATCCGAGTACGGTTAACAAACAGTTCCAGCAGTTGGTGTATGCAACTCGCTCATTGGAGACTTAGGCGTTACCGTTTGCGGTAGAACTAAGAGTTAACAATGCTTTTTTTCTGAAATGATTTTCCTGATTAAAAGACCCCAAAGAGCAAAATGATTTGAATGTTTGTTTTTTGTCTTTTAGAGAAGAAGTGTCTTTTATGAATGTTTGTAACTCAAACTGCACTAGAGACTATGACTTAGGAGTGAATGTGTCGCATGTCACCCTAAGGGTGCCATACTAAACATCCTGATTGTTGAAGAGTGACCCTTCAACAATCATTTCCTAAGTAGCTTAAGGCTCGTAACGTACAATATTCATTAGCCTTTATTAAGTGTTTTGATTTTGTATGAAGATGAGAAGAGAAGAGGAGACCTCTACAGGGAAAACTGAAATCCTATTGTTATCATGAAATATGGTCCTAGGGTTGAGTTTGAAATAGGGAACTCCTAAATATTATCATGCATGGTTTCAGACCTAATGCCTATCATCACTATCCTTAAACAAGGAAGTGAGACTCCTAAGGGAACATGTCAAAAGGGAAAAAGAAAACAATGCTAAAATCATAAAGCAGGTGAAATATGAAAGTAAGCACATGCAGATGCAATGCAGCAATACAAGCAAAGGGAGGCAACCTCGACCTTTCAATGCAAGCAGGCAAAGAGAAAAAGCAACAATCAAGCAAATGGAGGCAACCTCAACCTTTCGATGCAAACAGAAAAGATACAATCAAGCAAAGGGAGGCAACCTCAACCTTTCAATGCAATGATTATCCTAAACAGAGGTATCTATACATGTAAATCTATCCTAAATGCATCACAACAAACAGTTAAACAACCATGAAGAAAAGGGGAAACAAGATGAGCAACAAGGGAGGCATCCCAAGGCTACATCAAGTTTAAAGGTGTATACACAAGAGTCCTCTAAGGCTCAACCTCTTGAGGAATGCATATAGTACTTCCTAAGAAAGACCAGGCTCTCCCAAGAGGGATCCTAAGAATGTAGGACAGATAAGTGAGGAATGAGAAGTACAGTGTGAACCTAAGGAACCCACTGTAGTCAATGTGAATTAACACAGGAATCCACTTCAAGGCTCTACCTCTTGAGGAATGCACAGAGTACTTCCTAAGGAAGACCAGGTTCTCCCAAGAGGGATCCTAAGATAACAGGATAGATCAATGAGGTGGATCCT